GCTATTAATGGCCCGTGGGCGTGCACGAGGAGCGCAACCCACCACCGGGAGCCAAATCATAACATACGGCTAACTTTCCTCGACCGACCTGCCTTAACTCAACATTATACTCTAATTAGAAGCTGAAAGAAACAAAATTGCTCATGACTTGCTGGACCAAAATTAACTTAACTCGGTATAGAACGAACATGCCGTTAACCGAGTTTAACTTGAATTTCTTCACTAATTTCTGAAAGTTCTTCGAACAATTCACTCTGAATTGAACTTATTAACATGAATATAAATTGAAGAAGGGATTACCTCTTCAATCGCTCGACGGAAAACCGAAAGTAAGGTGTGCTTCCTCCTCGCGTGCACTCCGAGCGTTAGCCTCTTGAATTGCCGTGCGTTTCTAATGGAATTTTAGGGAAAATGCTTGGTTTAACTTTGCTGTTGAAGGAGACTTGTATGCTGAAGGTATTCTATATGAAAAATGAGGAAATTTTTCCCAAATATCCCTTCTTATACACGGCCGAATTTTGGGGAGGAGATGACGTGCACAAAACGTGGCCCTTTGTGGCTTTAACATTTGCTTGATGTTTAGGAGTTATGTTGTTGACTAAGCTACTTCTCCTCTTGAAAAGTTGCTTGCTTTGATTGGTTGCAAATTCTTTCCTTAAGCATAAGGAAGCTTCGGCTTTTATAGAAATTTTTGGAAAAATATACTTGAGTCATGATTCTTAAGCATGTAGGTCACGGCTTAATGATCTAATTTGGGAGATTAATTATGATTAATCACTCACTTTATGTTTAATTTCTTAATTAAACATAATGCTCAATTACCAAAATTATTTCGAACGTAAACGGTACGTCGAAAATAGATTTCGGTAATCCTGACTGAACTTAATTAATTCCGAAAATAATAAACAATAACGTTACTATATCGGAATTAAACGTAATTTATACTGATAAAATCTCGGGATATTACACCCACTTGCATCCAATGGCTCGAACACCACTGGGTGGCTCTACAAGATACCAGACCTGATTAGTGTCCATTGACTCTAATTCAGACTTCATCGCCTTTTGCCAAGACTCTGCGTCCCGATCTTGGAGTGCCTCATTGTATGTCCATGAGTCGGTTTCAAGAACGTCCGAGACGGCCTCAGAAGACTCTCCCAGACCCATGAACCGTTCGGGTTGCCGGAAAACCCTCCCACTACGACGAGGTACTACCTGCTCAGGTGCATCATCAGCAATACGTGTTGCAGTACTTTGTGGTGTAACGCACTCGGTATTGAAGTACTCACTCCCTTTAACTCCTCAAGAACATGTCTACTACTGGGCTTATGATCTAAGACATAGTCTTCTTCCAAAAACCTAGCATTCGTGCTAATGATTTCCTTCTGGTCCTCGGGACTATAAAATAGACCACCTTTCGTTTCCTTAGAATATCCCA